AAGTCACTTTCAGCTTACAACCAATCAATTTCTAGAGAAACGGTTGAAAGGGACAACACCAGGTGGAAGCCTCTATAAATACCCACTTAAGCATCACAAGGAAGAGGTCCAAGACCATTTCTAAAGTTCAACCTTTAGCATTCCTATCATTTAGCACTTCAAGCTCAGTTTAGCACTTAGCTTTTATTTCAACAAGTTTAGCTTAACACTATTAGTTTAGTACTTAGTTCATCTTCCAGCATTTAATACTTTATTTTCCATTTCAATCAAGAGTTTGTAATTCATTCATCATTGTAATCAGTCAAGTTCAATGAAGAAAGGTTTGCAGATTCAGGTATATTTATTGTCTAGTTAAGTTGCTTCTAATTCATGTTTATTTTGAGTGTTTAAAGTCCTTTCTTAAAGGCAATAGCAACCTTAAGGAGAGGGTCATTCCTACTCTCCAACTTTCGCCTGAATCACCTTAGGTCGGTGACTCGACCCGATAGGAATAGTTTGGCAAGAAATATTATTCGAGTCCATCAGGACTCTGGCACGCCCGCGTTCTAGGTCAGCCGTTCATTGGTTAGCGACCTCAGACCACTTTGTGAGCCAAACAACTTTGGCACGCCCGGTGGGACTTGTGTTTTATTTGTGAATGGTCGTCGAGACTAGGTCACAGACTCAGACTTCAGCGGGACAAGCTAACCCTCAAAGGGAAGATCAGGAAGAAAATCAGCCTGCTCCCATCATGCAAGATTCCGGGTCTGAGCATGAAGAGGGACATCAGGCCAACCACCAAATGGCGGCCGAAAGTGTTAGCAATATGGTGACACGATTTGAAAGTAGAGTGGAGGCTTCCCAACGCCAAGTCGCTTGGGAAATCAACAAAAATATGGAGCCATTGGTGGCTTCATCCCACATGACTAATACTCAGCTCCAACAGCTGAATGAGGTGATTAATGCCTTAGTGACTCGTATTGATAGGCAGGTCATTGCTCAGCCGCCTAGGTTAGAAAACCAGAATGATAGACCCGTGGACCAGTTTCCTCTTCAACAAGTTGGTCAACCAGAAAGAGGTGCCCAACCACATCCCATGGTTAATGGTCCTCGACCAGTAGCTCCAATTCCACCATAAGTCCATCCAGTAGAGCAAGGAGTGAATGGTCACCAACAACCAAGATGGAGGAATCATGACCAACCTAATGGTCGACCTCCTCATTTTCAACCTCAAGTCTTGCCACCTCAGGCTGTGAACCCAGGGGGGCAAGAGGGACATAACCCTTGGCCCAATGTCCCTTTTCAAGTCCCACCTATGGTCATGACTAGGGAGCAATTGGCTGAGGTCATACAAGAACAGTATGGACCAGCTTTAAAAAGGGCTACTCGACCTACTTTTAGGCACCCATTTCCTGACTGGATAGATCGGATGGATCTTCCCCAAAATTTTTGGGTGCCAAACTTTGCAACTTTCTCAGGAGAAGGTAACCAATCAACTCTTGAGCACATTGGCCGTTTCACATTAAAATGTGGGCCACTCAGCAACAACAATTGGTATAAAATGAAGCTATTCTCTAACACCCTCACTGAGACTGCCTTCAAGTGGTATCTAAACTTGCCACCAAATTCCATCCACACTTGGCAACAGATGCAGGATGTGTTCCATGATCAGTTCTATAGGACAGAACCAGAAGTCTCTATGTCCGACCTATCTAGGATCCATCAGTTGCCAAATGAGGATGTTGAGACATTTTTGGCTAGGTTTAAGAAGGCACGAAATATGTGCCAACTTACTTTGCCTGAAGAGGAATTTGTCAACTTGGCCCTTAGCGGTTTAGACTTCGAATTACGAAAGAAGTTTGAGGGTACTCATTTTGGAGATTTATTCCAATTAGCCGATAGGGTTACCAAGTATGAAAAAATCTTACGAGAGGAAAACGAGAGGAAAAACTCCCCTCGGGGGACCTATTATAAGGACCCTAATTATGAAATACACATGGTTGATACAGTATATGATGACCTAGAGGTCGATGCTGTTGAAATTGTTTCAAAAAAACCATATGTATGTAAAGCTTTAGCTAAGCCCTTAGAGACTGTTAGCGGTGTTCAACCCTCATCATCTTCAGCCAAAAGGAATATCTTTGAGGCTGGCAAACAATATGCTTTCGATATAAGTAAAGCAGAGCAAATCTTTGACCACCTGTTGTCTGATAAAATTATCAAAGTCACTGGGGTACATAAAATACCTTCAGCTGATGAAATCAAGGGTCGAGAGTATTGCAAATATCATAACTCCTGGAATCATGCAACTAATAATTGTGTTGTCTTTCGTAATGTGATTCAGGCACAGATCGAGAAGGGGGCATGGAAGTTCCCGGAGAAGAAGAAAGAGGTGATGAGCATTGACAGTGATCCATTCCCAGCCTTGGTCAGCAGTAACATGGTCGAAATCTCAATGGCCAGTAGGCCACGGAGAAGAATTGATTTTGAGGATACTTCAGCTAACAGAGAAAGCAAGGCTGAAGGAAAGAAGCCGATGGTTAAGGAAACTCTAAGGTCTAAGGATGACTTAGAAAAGGAGTTGCGGGAGGCTCAACTGGCGCTGATCAAGCAAGGATTATGCCCTAAATGTAAGACAGACATTGGAAGGGACCGAGAGAGGTTCCATAGTGACACTCGGGGACGTCCTGGAAGTTCACGTCATGAAGACAGACCTAGGTCACCCTCGTCTAGGGTGCCTGTGACAAGTCGATTAACATGGCCTGATAGAAGGGCTAATACCAATGAGCATCACAAGCGAAGGCGAGAAATGAACTCCAACAGTCGGTCAAGGAATCTTACTTATGCTGTCTGGAAGCCGAGGGAGCATAACTCAAATGTGGCTCGCCAGGCTGAGACATCAGTTAACCACCCAAACCATAGGCAAAGGATGGTCAAGCCACCAGTCACTGACGACGGTCGATGGTCAAGGGTGAGTCATCCAAAGTTCTCTAGGGTCAGGGATATCCTGCCAGCATTCATGACTCGCACTCAAGTAAGACGGTGGCAGCGGATGAAAACTGAGTTAAAGAGAATGGAAGAAAAATATTCAGCTCCACAGCCAGGGAAGGTGACTTTGCTTAGGAGAGAACCTATCAAGCAAGATTCAAAAAGTGATCCGAAAGGAAAATCCAAGGAAGATAGTGCAGACGAAAATGGATGCACTGAAGAGAAATGTGCGTCTTCCTCCATGAAAGAAGCTGAAGATGAAGCAGGATTTGGTGATGACGAACTCGACCTGGATGACCAGGATGATGGTTCAAAAGGTATCAAATTTGGTTCATTTGAAGGAATTGTGAATTGCAATATGGTTCTTACCTTGCCTCATATTTTTGAGGCTAAACCTGATCAACCCTCCGCTATGGAAGGAGACGTCGAGGTGATCGATGATGAAGGTCAGGAAGTTCCAGAGATTATTGAGAACCCATCTGAGTTGGTCTCTGAAGATAAGAAACAGAAAGTCGCTGTGATAAGAGCTAAACCACGAGATGATGAGTCAGTAACTATTGGGAGAGATCAGGCGGCTAGGGTGATTTTTGAGAAGCCTTCTGCGGCAATGTCTTAACACTTGAAACCACTCTATATCAGAGTGTTCCTAGAAGGGATGCCAGTGTCTCGGGCACTGATAGATAATGGATCTGCGGTTAATATCCTTCCGATGAACACCATGAGGTTGCTGCAAAAAACGGAAGATGACTTGATTCCCACTGACTTGACAGTCAGTAATTTCACGGGGGGCAGAGCCAGGACCAGAGGGGTAGTCACCTTGGAAATGACAGTTGGAAGATGTAAGACCATGACTGCATTCTTCGTGGTCGACGCAGGGGCGGCTTACAACGCTTTGATTGGGCGTGATTGGTTACACCCACATTTTTGCATCCCTTCTACCCTCCACCAGTTTATGATTTGCTGGGATGGGGATGAAATCCAAGTCATATGGGGAGATAATAAGTCTTTCGAAGCTCGGGTCCATGTGGCTGATGCAGTTTTATATGAGGAGGAAATGGGTCCTGTGAGGCTTATTGGTTGTGACAAGTATGGCAAGCCTGAGAAGGCGACGATGAGGAAAAATCTGACAGACGGGGACTTATCCGATTTATTCAAGGAACTATCGAGGCCAAGTGTTATCTGCGAGCCAAGGCCGATAGTTGAAGTTAATGAACAACAGGTTGTTAATGGACCAAGCCCAAAAGGAGAAGGAGAAAATGCTAGCATTTAAAGCTAGCATGGCACGGCTGAGAGCATATCTCGCCGAAAGACGGGCAATGTTGTGGAGTGATATGTCGGCCAATATGGCCGAAATCATAGAAGAAGGTGAGTCAGGGGATTGTCGAGATGTTATTCAGCTAGAAGAGCTAGATGCAGCTCCAGCTAAGCTAGAGGATCTGAAAGCCGATGTTCAGGATCCCTTGTTGGAAATCAATTTGGGAGCAGAAGAAGAGCCTCGGCCAACCTACATAAGTGATCTTCTAGAACCTGACTTTAAAGCTGAACTGATCTCGTTGCTTAGAGAATATAAGGATTGTTTTGCTTGGAATTACACTGAGATGCCGGGATTACCAAGGCAGCTAGTTGAGCATCGACTACCTATAAAAGAAGGTTTCAGACCATTCAAGCAAGCGCCTAGACGTATGTCAACAGAAGTGACTATGAAAGTGAAGGAGGAAATTAAGAGGTTACTCCAAACAGGATTCATCCGGACCACAAGGTATTGTGATTGGCTATCCAATATCGTTCCCGTGGTTAAGAAGAATGGAAAGATTAGGGTGTGCGTAGACTTCAGGAATTTAAATTTAGCTACTCCAAAAGATGAGTATCCAATGCCCATGGCTGATCAATTGATTGATGCGGCCGCCAAGAATGAGATTCTGTCATTCATGGACGGTCACTCAGGATACAACTAGATATTCATAGCAGAGGATGATGTTAACAAGACGGCATTTAGATGTCCGGGAGCCATAGGCACTTTCGAATGGGTGGTGATGCCCTTTGGTTTGAAGAATGCCGGAGCCACTTATCAACGAGCTATGAATGCAATCTTCCATGACATGATTGGGAAATTTATGGAAGTATATATTGACGACGTGGTGGTGAAATCAGCGATAAAGGCGAAACATCTGGCCGACTTGAGGAGATCATTTGAGAGAATGAGAACCCATGGTTTGAAGATGAACCCACTTAAATGCGCCTTTGGAGTGACAGCTGGGAATTTTCTAGGGTTCTTGGTGCATCGGAGGGGTATCGAGGTCGACAAGAATAAAGCTAGGGTGATCATCGAAGCTTAACCACCTCGCAACAAGAAGGAGTTACAAAGACTAATTGGTCAAATCACATACTTGGGAAGATTTATTTCAAATCGTGCTGGAAAGATCCATACCTTTTCTCCGCTCTTAAAGCTCAAATCAGAGAAAGACTTTCGATGGAAAAAGCATCACCAACATGTGTTTGAATCAATCAAGGAAAATCTTGCCAACCCTCCTGTCCTTATGCCACCTAGGAAGAAACAGCCGCTGAAGTTATATATTTCAGCTGTGGATGAGTCAATCGGAAGTTTGTTAGCCCAGGATAACGAAGTAGGGAAAGAACAGGCGGTGTATTACCTTAGTCGTATTTTGACACCGGTTGAGCGTCGATATACGCCAATCGAAAAAATGTGTCTTGCTTTGTATTTTGCTGCTCACAAATTGAGAATATATATGCTACCTGTTTTAGTTTATGTGATTTGTGCCACTGACTTAATTAAGTATATGCTTTCTCGTCCAATAATTTCTGGACGAATAGGCAAGTGGTCCTTGGCCCTTATGGAATTCAGTTTCCAATATGTGCCTCAAAGGGCCGTGAAGGGCCAAGCACTTGGTGATTTCCTAGCTGACCATCCATGCTTGGATGTTGATCCGGGAGTCTATGATGCAATGGAGTTATGTGCTATTCAACTAACTCCTTGGACTCTAATTTTTGACGGATCCAGCGCAAATGATGTCGGGGGAGCTGGAGTTGTAATAATTGCACCAAATGGCAGGAAAATAACATATTCTTTCTTTCTAGATTTCAAATGTTCTAACAATCAAGCAGAATATGAAGCTCTGATTATTGGTCTTGAAATACTCTTAGAGATGGGGGCACAGACTGTTGAAATCATAGGTGATTCAAGTCTGGTGATCGATCAGTTGTCCAGCAATTTCAGGTGCCAAAGTTGGCACCTCAAACCATTCCACTCTATAGCCATGCAATTACTACAAGAATTTGCAGAGGTAAAGGTCAAGCATGTTTATAGATTGCATAATAAAGAGGCCAATGATTTGGCTCAAATAGCATCTGGCGTTAGGGTGCCAGAAGGAATAATGGAGAATTTGATTAGAATAAAGAGAAGATCATTACCCTCAGTTAAGGCGAGGGAAGAATTATTGGCGGAGGTCTTTACAATCGAGGTGGAAGACGATATGGAAGAGAATGATTGGAGAACACCGATCGTCGATTTTCTAAAAAATCCAGACCCTAAGGCTGACAAGAAGCTAAAAATCAAAGCTCTTAAGTTTGTGATGATTGATGGAGACCTATTCAGGAAAAACATTAAAGATGACCTACTCTTAAGGTGTGTCAGTAAGAAAGAAGTCATGAAAGTAATGGGAGAGACCCATGAAGGGATATGTGGTGCTCACCAAGCTGGAATAAAGATGAAGTGGCTGATTAGAAGGTACACTTATTACTGGCCCGGGATGCTTAAAGATTGTATCACTTACGCCAAAGGATGTCAAGCGTGTCAAAGGCATGGGCCAATCCATAGAGCCTCGGCGATTGAATTACAACCAATCATAAAACCATGGCCTTTTAGAGGCTGGGCTATGGATTTGATAGGGAAAGTTTATCCACCTTCTTCTAAACAACATTGTTTTATCATTGTGGCAACTGACTACTTTACCAAGTAGGTCGAAGCGGTGCCCATGAAGTCAGTGCACCAAGAAGATGTGATTCGGTTTATCAAACAACATGTTATTCATAGATTTGGGATCCCAGAATCAATCACAACTGATCGAGGTTCAGCCCTTGTCGCCCAAGAAGTGCAGGCATTTGCAGCAGAGTACGGGATCAAGCTCCTAAACTCAACCCCTCACTTTGCACAAGGAAATGGTCAAGCCGAGTCGTCTAATAAGACGCTAAAAGGCATCATTGAAAAAATGGTGGAAGATAACCCTAGGGTGTGGCATGAACTGTTATCAGAAGCACTTTGGGCATATAGGACTTCTCAACGGTCAAGCACAGGTGTGACTCCATTCACGCTCACCTATGGTCATGATGCAGTTTTGCCTATGGAAGTGACTGTGCGGTCAATGAGATTCGCATTGCAAAACAATTTGACCCCTACTGAATGTAATGAGTCTATGTTGATTGAATTGGAGGACCTAGACGAAGTAAGGTTAAGGGCTCTTGACCACATACAAGTTCAGAAAAGGCGAGTAACAAGGGCATATAACAAGCGTGTTAGGGCCAAAATCTTCGGTGAAGGTGACTTGGTTTGGAAGACTGTCCTCCCAATGGGCGTGAATGATCGAAAATATGGAAAATGGTCACCAAATTGGGAAGGTCCATTTATGGTTTACAAAGTCTTAAAAGGAGGCGCATATCATTTGCAAGATCTTGACGGGGAAATACACCCTCGACCGATTAATGGCCGATACTTAAAAACTTATTATCCTACAATGTGGGAGACAAAGGAGAATAAAACCAAAGATGGTTAAATAACCAGAAACCATAGAGACATGCATTTTATTCATTGTTTTCGTTGAGTACAAAAGTTTATAAGAGTCATTACCTATCATTTTCTTTGCAGATAAACAAAATGACTCTTGAGCTCATCCCACTCTTTCTTAGACATGGCCATTTTTTCATCCTCTTTGGCCTTCTCAGTCCTCAGTCGAGGAATTTCTTTTGAGACCGATTCTCTCTACTGATCAATTTCCACATTCTTTTGATAAATCTCCTTCATCTGAATAGCGAGTCCTTCTCTTGATCGGGCAGTTCCAGTCAATTCCATCTTGAGACGTTCTATTTCCCGTTCGATTTCTGATGCTCTCTGGTTTTCCTTGACATGAGTTAATTTTAAGGCCCGAAAATGGGATACATTGTCTTTCTCTTGTTGAATCAAAGATTCTTGCTCCTGCAGCTTTTCATGGATCGTAAACGACAGCTCACCAGCCTTCTGAGAGGAGAGCTGAAAATCAGAGACGAGAGTTGGGAATCGACTCTGGACAGATTGAAGATGGTTTATCTGTTCTTGACTTAAGTCATGATGATCTATCAAGACGGACATGGCATCAGCCACATTAGCAGCCAAACTTGGCATCTCAGAGAGGTCTCGGGACACGACGGCGACTAGTAATCTTTTTGCCCCCTCAATATCTGGCAGATGACTGGAAGACGTAGGCACAACGACTGGCTCGTTCATCAAGGGATCTAGATCAAACCCAGCCGCTATCTCGGAAAAGTAGGCATCAAAGTCATCGATCGTGCTATAAGTTTGAAGGGGCGTTTGGGACTGAGAATTTGAGCCAGCCTGTGAATGAAAGGAATTTAGTAAAACAAGTCAAGGCTTGAATAAGAGAATAAGTCATAAATACTCACACCAACTGGTGAAGGCCGAGTCACGTGGCCAAAGGTGCGTCTGGTAGCAAACGCTGGTGCAGAGTAAGGGCTTGGAACTCTTGGTTGTGTGCCCGGGGCAACCTGCAAGAGAAGAATGTTTTTGAATGCCTAACTTTGATAAAGATATACGGGAGATGTACTGAAAGATCATCTTGAAAATCACCTCAGCCCCATCAAACTGATGAAAGACAGTGTTTGGTTGAGTAGTGGCTTGTTGACACTCGACTCTACTAGTGCGAGGGTGATCAGCATTCGCAATGTTATTACAAATGTTGATCCTATCTCTTGACAACGACCTAGCCGAGTGTGAGGAAACCTGTCCGTAAAGATGCCATGAGAATCGGCAAGGTACATTGATACTGGAAGTAAAAACAAAGCCTAGTTAGCTCACGGCTGGTAGAGATATTTGTCTCAACTGAGAAAGTCGATGGCATCAAGGGGTCAGGATTTTCTTCCTCCTCTTCATCGATCAGAGGCAAAGGGTTGGTGGTCCTGACTGAGGTAGCCTGTTTTTTTCCTTTCCCTGCCCTGATCACCTAGAATACCATTGAGGTTAAAAAAGGGGTATATAGGTGGTACATATAAGTAAGCTAAAGTTCTAAGAGATTATGCTTTAAAGAATTCATAAGGAAAACCTTAGGCCTCTTGGGGGGCACCACGTTTTCCTCGTCAGCCTCAGGCATTTCCGTCTCATGATCAGAAACTCCCAATGGGTCATAGAAGTCAACAGCTGCATAAAGGAAAGATCTTTTTATGATCTAAAGCATAGAACTTGGTATTTATGTAAGTATGAGTGTGTACCTTCTTTGGACGACTTTGATTTTTTTGTCCTGCTGGGAGAACCAGGTTTAGCTACACTGATCCCCTTTGATGGCTTGGTCGAGGCTCCTTAGGGTTTAATAAAAATGGAGGCAATCCTATTTGTTATAGTGCAAGAATCCTCCACCATAACCTCCGCAATATGGTTTCCCCACCAGTAGTCAAAGGATGGAGAAGTATCAGGATTTTCCAGAAATGGCTGCAAAGAGAATTTGTTACAGAGACGGTTAAACCGGGAGGATACTCTATCCACTGTTTCTTTTGAGGTGAAGACTACTCGTTCCAAGAAAGAAGTATTGAAAGATCGAAAAGGCGGAAGTGGAACGAGTTGGGTGAGACCAAATTGTCTAGCAAATTGTGGGGGATTGTAATACTCCACCCCACACTTACTATTTGGAGAGCCCATTCTTGAACATCCATAAGAGATGTCCCTAGCAATCAAGAAACTGGCCCAGGTTTGTGTATGTTCGTCTTGGCAACTCGGTGGAGCCTGGGTAGGGGGATAGGAAAGCCACAAAGGTCGCCTCGGTCTAGGAGAGAATGGCAAGAAAAGATGACTGGCCCGGTATGCAGGGAGTTTGTAAAAGAAGGAGAACATAGTTTTGAACGATCTTTTTCCTGGTTGAATATGTGCAAAATGATAGCTGGGAACAGGAACAGCGGTCGACAAGTCAAGATCGGGGTAAAGCTCAGGGAAATATGCGTATTCCCAAAGTTGTAATAGCCAGAATGGCCCAAAACAGGTTTTGAAGTTGGAAGCAACATATTCCCCGATGCCACGGTAAAGATAAGAAAGCAAAAAAGGAGCGAGAGCAAGTTTCTCGCCCGAGTGAAGAGCAAGGGCCAATTGAGTAAATTCCTTAGTGACTGTGAGCGAAGAAACGCAAAATAAGAACCTATTCAGCCAGTACACCAAGAAAGAAATATGCTCGGCGATGGAAACTGAAGTTCCTTTACCTTTGCTGGCTTTAATAAAAGGGCCATGGGTAGTAATGCGCTCAGAAGTGTCAGGTTTCTTTGGATATTCATAAGCTACTTCAGGAACGGTGAGAAGTGAATTTATTTCCGTACCATGGGGCCTAAGCCCGGTAAGAAAACAGATATCTTGCACCGTCGGACCAATCATACCACACCGAAGATGGAAGGCATTGGTGGAACTTGACCAGAAAAAGAGTAATGAGACGAGAGCCTCCTTATCGATAGAGATTCGATTTTTTGAAAGAATGATGGCATCATAAATGCCGACATCCTTCCATAATGCTCCGTAGTGAGGTTCGACCCGATCGACCCAATCAATCCAGTCACTTTGAGGGATCGGGCAATTTTTGAAAAGGTAGGAAGAATCCACAAGATTAGAGAACTCGCGCTGAAATGGGAGTTGCTCCTCAGCTAAGGGACAGTAGGGAAGAAGTGAGGTTGGTGGACTATCTCTGAAGGCTGGAGCAAGGCCGATTCTAGGTAAGGAATCAGCACCTAAGACACTGGCTAATACTTCACTAGTGCTGAAAATATCTGTAGCGATGATCTCGTTGACGAGTTTTTGAACAATCCCGACTTGACTGGAAGATTTGTTACTAGCTGAAATTGACGTATTCTCAGCAACGATCGTTACATTTTTATTACCACCCATCGCCGAGATTCTGAAGGACAGAAAATAAAGCTGTGTTCTCTACGATGAAGCTTTATTAAGAAGAAAGGGTCTTTAAAGTGCGCTGGATATGTTTCTTAATTATGGGACAAGACGAGCTAACATTCTGCTGTGCAGTTTTTTTTTTTATTTTGAAAAAAAACATGCAACTATCAGGAAAATTTCACAGAGATGTTCTGCAATTTTTTGTGGCGAAGCTACAGAGGGTTTTGTTGGATATGGTGTTGACAATGCTTGGTAGAGGCAAGCGTTATATATATAGAGCAATTAGCTAGGCTTAGCTGGTGAAATACTGTACCCAATGAAAACGCCACAGGATTATGAATGTACTTGGAGCCGCCTAAAAACAGGCTAGCTTAAAAATCCAAGGACATATAAAGAATAAATTCGGGTATTGGAAATCAACGTGTCAGTAAATGAGATTTATTATACATCCTTAAGCCACAGGGTAATGTGTTCTTCACTTGAAAGCAACCCGTATCTGTTGACATGTTATTGAGCACATGGTTTTGGGGTTTGTTTCTCTCTTGTCTTGTCAAGTTAAATTGCAGATAAAGACGTACGTTGAGCTCCAAATCTATTTGTTCTGACAATAAAGTGGTTGTGCTTTGTACAGAGCTAATAGAAATATATATATATATATATATATATGTGCATATTTATATTCGCACATGTTTATATTTACAAGAGGCCACGTTTAGTTGAAGCAGACCAACCATGTCTGCATTGGTTGCGTGTTGTACATAACTATATCTAAAAAGATATGCATTGAGCTCCCAAACAGCCAGCCTTCAAGATGAAGCAACAAGGTTCATTCAC